CCAGCTGGGTGACTTTGAACCAATCACCAGGAGACAGGGAATTCTAGTCCCACCTTAGGCATGAAAGCTGTGATTTTTTTGCCAATCACCAGGAGACAGGGAATTCTAGTCCCACCTTAGGTGTGAAAGCCAGCTGGGTGACTTTGGGCCAATCACAGGAGACAGGGAATTCTAGTCCCACCTTAGGCATGAAAGCTGGGTGACTTTGAACCAATCACCAGGAGACAGGGAATTCTAGTCCCACCTTAGGCATGAAAGCTGGATGATTTTCAACCAATCACCAGGAGACGGTGAGTTCTAGTCCTGCCTTTGTCATGAAAGTCAGCTGGGTGACTCTCTCTCAGCCCAACTTACCTTATAGGGTTGTTATGGCAACACTCAATGACCAGGTAGATAGATTTCCCCCCCTATTGATCTGTCTCTAGCCTGGTCCTTCGAATCTTCCGATTATTATGCATTCTTCTCCACTGTAAGTGAATCCATCCATCTTCTGCTCACCTTCCCCTTCTCTTTCCTTCCATGCTTTCCACCATAATGGACTTTTCAAGAAAGCTGGGCGATTGATTGATGGATGGATTCATTGTGCGCCTTCAAGTCAATGTTGACTTGTAGTGACCACATGGATTAATCTTCTCCAAGAGAATCTGACCCCAAAACTTGTGCTTCAGGTCTTCCAGTGGTCCTCTCATCACTTCTATAATTGAGTCCATCCCCTCTCCTACCGGTTATCCTCTTCTTCTCTTTCCTTCCATCTTTCCCAGCTTTGAAGTCTTCTCCAGAGAGTTGGGCCTTCACATCATGTGTCGAAAGTGAGATAATTCCAATCTGGTCATTTGTTTTTCGAGTGAGAACTTTGGATTGATGTGTTCAGTAATTCATTTGTTTGTTTTCATGGGAAGGTTAAAAAAACAACAACACAGAAACATAACGTAAAGTATAATCAACAGCCGAGGAGCCAAATCAATTTGGATAAATAACAACTGCATCACGAACTCTCTGACTTTCGTGTCCGGGAACACATCTACCTCTTTAAAGTCTTCTGGAAAACTGGCAGAGTTGAGGCCAATTTAATTTCAGGAGGACAATCCATAAGGCCGAGGCAGCCACAGGGAATAAATAACATGGTATAAATAAATGTAACCATAAAACACCTAGTGCAACTTATTGATCTAATTATCATGATGTTAATCCAAATCATATAATTGCAGATAAATGCAATTTATGCATTTATGACAGATAAAGAGAGAGAGAGAGACAAACAGACTGACAGATACACAAAGAGTAGATAGATAGATGATAGATAGATAGATAGATAGATAGATAGAGAGAGAGAGAGATAGATAGATAGATAGATAGATAGATAGATAGATAGATAGATACATAGATACATAGATACATAGATAGATATGGAGGGAGGGAGGGAGGGAGGGAGAGTGTGTAATGCATACCAATAAAGGAGAATATTTATAGCTAGAGGGAGGGAGAGAGAGAGAGAGAGAGAGAGAGAGAGAGAGAGAGAGAGAGAGAGAGTGTAATGCATACCAATAAAGGAGAATATTTGTAGATAGATAGATAGATAGATAGATAGATAGATAGATAGATAGATAGATAGATAGATAGATATGGAGGGAGGGAGGGAGGGAGAAAGAGAGAGAGAGTGTGTAATGCATACCAATAAAAGAGAATATTTATAGATAGATAGATAGAGATGGAGGGAGGGAGAGAGAGAGAATGTAATGCATACCAATAAAGGAGAATATTTGTAGATAGATAGATAGATAGATAGATAGACAGATAAAGAGAGAGAGAGAGAGATTCAGATAGATGATGGGTAGAAAGAGAAAAATGCATACCAATAAAAGAATATTTGTAGTTAGCTTGCTAGATAGGCATTCAGACACACACAGATGATAGATGGATAAATACATAATGGAAAGAGAGAGAGAGAGAGAGAGAGAGAGAGAGAGAGAATGATAGATTTTATCCCTTTCTCCCTTGGACACTCTCTATTTCCCCATCTATCCCCCTTCCTCCTCCTCTCTTTCTCCTCTTATCCCTCTTTCCCTCCCTCTCCCTTTCCCTCCTACTCTTTTCCTGTCCCTCTCACTCTCTCTCCCCCACTTCATCCCCTCTCTCTCCCTCTCACCTCTTCCTCTCCGTCTCCTCTCTTACTCTGTTGAGCCAAGCTGCCTTGTAAGATTGCTGTGGTGGCTTGGCTTAAGAAAGACAATTAGAGAGGAGCTCCCACCCATTCCTTCTCGTCTTCTCCTCAGGGCCCCTCTCCTCTGTGGGAAGCCTTCAGGGATTGGAAGACGGCTAATCATGTCTCCCCTAAGTCTTTCCTCGGTTAAGCTACAGTATATATACAGTATATTATTCTTGGCTTCCTCTATTCTTGGTTTGTTAAAAAGGAAAGGAAAGGTCTCTCCAGTGTGGTGGTCTTGGGAGACATGGGGGATATGATGCATAGAATCGTCCTGTTTCAGACAATTGTATTCTGCGTGAAATAAGCTTAGTTTCCCAATGTTTTCTTGACACTGAGCAACATCTGGCCAGAATCTGTGGCTTCTCCTTCTTTTAAGGCCTTCTCTCACTTTGACCTCCCTGCAGCACAGATGTTCTCGTGATGCTGGAGCTCCTGGCAGCATTAAGTGACTCCTAGAGTTGCCTTCCCTTGTCTCGAAGGCTTTCTGAAGGAGGCTGTGAGACTTTATTCTTCCGTTTTTTGGAAGGGAGGCAGGGCACTGGAGCAAGAGGGAAGGGAAGCCAGAAAGATGCTGTCAGTAGGTCAGCAAATGTCAGGGTGGACTACTTCCACGGCTTCTTAAAGTTTGGCAGAGAACACTTTCGCTCGGCTGGAGAGAAAAGGGTTTAGCCATAATGGAAGTGTAACCTCATTCTCCCTTTTCTTCTGTTACGAGAGGAAATGAATAACTTCCACCGCTTTGAATAAGTTACCCACATATAAGGTTCAGGAAATGAAGCTTCTCAGCGATGCTGTGTTTCTCCCTTTCTCCTTCTCTGCCCTTTCTCCTCTTCCTCCTCTTCCCCCCTCCCCTCTTTCCCACCCTCCTCCTCTCCTCCTCCTCTTTCTTCTTCTTCTTCTTCTTCTTCTTCTTCTTCTTCTTCTTCTTCTTCTTCTTCTTCTTCTTCTTCTTCTCCTCCTCCTCCTCCTCCTCCTCCTCCTCTTCCTCTTCCTCTTCCTCTTCCTCCTCCTTTCTTCTTCCTCCTCCTCCTTCCCCTCAACCTTCCTCCTCCCTCTCCTCCTTCCTCCTCCTTTCTTCTTCTTCCTCCTACTCCTCCTCCCTTCCTCTTTTCTCCTTCTCTTCCTCCTCCTTTTTCTTCTTCTCCTCCTCCATCCTCCTCCTTCTCCTCCCCCTTCCACCTCCTCCTCCTCCTCCTTCCTCCTCCCCCTCCCCCTCCCCCTCCTCCTTTCTCCTTCTCTTCCTCCTCCTCCTCCTTTTTCTCCTTCTCCTCCTCCTCCCCCTTCCTCCTCCTCCTCCTCAGGATGGCATCCTTCCATGTTTTCTTGTAACAACAATTGTGGCCTCCCTGGTTTCTTGGACTGTAGAGCAGATGAGGGGATGTTTGTGCATTCCAACTTGCAAGATTGATGTTGGCCTTGTGGGCTAAGCCAGCTAGTTCCTAGTTTATTCTAAAGCTACATTGACAGAATCTTGCAAGCCTGAAAGTACAACTCTCCCAGCGTCTCTTTTACGGCCTGAGAAACGAGGGAGGGTCCCTTCTGAGTCTATTTCTCCACCCATTATGGCAGCTGAGGGCTGTGCCATCTCTTCTCTGATTTTTTCCCTTGGTAGTGACTCTTCATCCATAACCGAAGGTCTTTCCCACATTATATTATATTATATTATATTATATTATATTATATTATATTATATTATATTATATTATATTATATTATATTTATTATATTATATTCTCCAACGCAATAAAAAGCCATAAATGGCAGACACCATTTCCCCCAGACCCTCACTGGGGAGAAACATAGGCCTGAGGTGACTGGAGTCAAGGAAATCAAGATGGCGGCCATAAGTGGAGGCCTTCTTTTTGAGTCCTACAAGTCGCAAAGTGAGAACTACCCAGTAGTGGGATTCAGCCGGTTCGGGACAGTTCAGGGGAACTGGGAGTTAAATTACTGGCTGGCCCTTCCCGCCCCGCCTCTTCCAGGAGTCCCTACGCGCCCCATTTTTGCTCCCAGGGGGGTGTAGGAGACCAAGTGCTGCCTGTCACACACCCTGGCCACGCCCACCCTGGCCACGCCCACCCAGCCGGTTATTATTTTATTTATTTATTTATTTATTGGTTCAATTTATATGCCGCCCTTCTCCGGAGACTCAGGGCGGCTTACAATGCGTTAAGCAATTAGGACAGAGAACTGCTTGTTAAATTATTTGAATCCCACCATTGGAACTACCGGTAGTCCTCCACTTACAACAATTCGTTTAGTGACTATTCGAAGTTAAAACAGCACTAAGAAAAGTGCCTTATGACCATTTTCCACACTTAATTATAGTTGCAGCATCCCCACAGTCACATGAACAAAATTCAAAGATGTTTGGCAACCTACTCCTATTTATGACGGTTGCTGTTGCAAAGTCCCCTCTGACAAGCGAAGTCAAAAGGGAAGCCAGATGTACTTCACAGCTGTGTGACTAACATAATGACTGCATTGGCTCACTTAACAACGGTGGCAAGAAAAGTCATTAAATGTTTGGCGCAATTGTCATAAATTGAGGACTACCTGTATGGTGGCCAACTTTGTGTCTACTCCTCTGTGTGTGTGTGTGTCAAAATGCTGTCACTGCTGTAGAGTTGTGTCTTGAGTTGTGAGATATATATATATATATTTGTAGACAAAATTACACTTCTTACACAAGCAGAATTTTTGATCATCATTCCTTTGATTTTCCCTTTTGATTTCACAATTCCAGATCTTGGTTTATATATATATTTTCTGCTTTTTTTCCCCCTTTCCTAAGATTTGAAGATCTTGAGAGAGAAATTTCCAAGGGTTTTGCTGTCCAGCCTTTAAACCCACTGAGTCTTTGAGTTGGTTGACCTAAAGGATGGCTGCCTGTTGGAAGAGATGGGCCTTCGCCATGGTGCTGCTTCCTGTGGTAAGCCATTTTAACAATATTATTGTATTAAATGATTCCAAATGTGGCATTCTGTATAAATAGATTACAGCACATGGTTTATAATCACACCATTGGAAAGCAGACAGATGACAAGGGGACTAAAGCATATGAGGAATGTTAAGGGAACTGGATATGTCTAATATTTAATGAAAAGAAGGAGTAGGGGAGACATGATAGCAGTCTTCCAGTATCTCAGGGGCTGCCCCAAAGAAGAGGGGGTTCATCTATTCTCCAAAGTACCTGAGGGCAGGACAAGAAGCAATGGGTGGAAACTAATCAAGGAGAGAAGCAACCTAGAACTAAGGAGAAATTTCCTGACAGTGAGAACAATTAAGCAGCGGAACAGCTTGCCACCAGAAGTTGTGGGTGCTTCATCACTGGAGGATTTTAAGAAGAGATTGGATAACCATTTGTCCGGAATGGTATAGAGTCTCCTGCTTGAGCTAGATCCCTTTGACCTTATGATTCTGGATGGATGGATGGATGGATGGACAGGTAGATAGATAGATGAGGATGAATGGGGAGATGATAGATAGATAGATAGATAGATAGATAGATAGATAGATAGATAGATAAGTAGATAGGTAGGTAGGTAGGTATGGATGGGTGGATGGATGGATGGATGAAAGAAATAAAGAAAGCAAGAGAGAGAGAGAAAGAAGCAAGCAAGCAAGGAAGATTGAATGAAGGAAAAGAAAGAGATAGAAAAATAGAAGGAAGAAAAAAGAAAGGAAGAAAGAAAGAAAGAAAAAGAAAGAAAGAAAAAGAAAGAAAGAAAGAAAAGATGATAGTTGGAATAGGGAACAGAGATAGACATAGAAACAGGGAGAACAATAGTTTGGTAGGTAGATGTGTGGAACTGTGGATGGAGGAATGGATAGATAGATGGATGGACAGACAGACAGACAAATGAGGAAGGACGGGGAGAGATACTAGAGCTAATAATGGGAGAAATAGAGAATTAATGAACACATATATGAGAGAAAGAGAGACAGACAGACAGACAGTCAGTCAAGGGGGGGAGAGAGAGAGAGAGAGAGTGAGGGAGGGAGAGAGTGAGTGAGAGAGAGAGAAATATTGTGAAATTGGACGGTTACTCACAGCCTCCGTTGCCGTCCAAATGAGCAATTTTCTGCCTGCTCAATTTCCCCAGTGTTTTCCTGGCCCACTGAGAAGGTCTCCACCGTTTCTACTTCCTGCAGAAAAGACTCATCTTCTGCAAAAGAAAATAAAGGCTTGGGTTTCTTCCAAGGGCTCTGTTATCTTCCTTTTAAAATAACCCGAATGCTGTTGACATTTAACAGAATTTGGTGATTTGAAGCAGATTCGGTGGCTGGGCTGCAGTTGCCTTCCCAGCCGCTCTCTCTCTCTCTATATATATATATATATTGCCCAAAAAGGAAGCCCTCACCTCTCCCCCCCTGAATCTTCCAAGCCATCTGCCTGCAAGGAAGCCCCACTCAGGAAGTGAGAATTTAAGAAGGCGCTTTCTCCGTCAGACTGATACCCCAACTACTTATTTATTCGGTTTTTTTTAATTCTGCCTCTATTATTCGTTACAAATAAAGCAAGGGGGTGAACATAATAATACTTCTTCTTCCTCCTATTTTCCTCACGAAAACAATCCTGTGAGGTGGGATGAGCTGAAAAGAGTCACCCAGTCGGCTTTCATGCCTGAGGTGGGACTAGAACTCACCATCTCCTAGTGATCGGCCCAAAGTCACCTAAACTGGCTTTGATGTCTAAGGTGAGACTAGAACTCACTGTCTCCTAGTGATTGGGCAAAAGTCACCCAGCCAGCTTTCATGCCTAAGGCAGGACTAGAACTCATCATCTCCTGGTGATCGGCCCAAAGTCACCCAGCTGGCTTTCATGCCTAAGGTGGGGCTAGAACTCACCATCTCTCAGTGATTGGGCCAAAGTCACCCAGCCAGTTTTTGCGTCTAACGTCTCCTAGAACTCACTGTCTCGTGGCGATTAGCCTAAAGTCACACAGCTAGCTTTCGCATCTAATATGGAACTATAACTCACTGTCTCCTAGTGATTGGATCAAAGTCACCCACTTAGCTTTCGCACTTAAGGCAGGACTAGAACCAAGGGTGAAATGCTCCAAAGTCTTCTACCGGTTTGCTTTGCTACCGGTTTGCTACACGCAGTGCACATCAAATGCGTGCATACACACCACAGGCGCTACCGCACAGCGCTGAAAAAGGAGGTTTAAGAAGCCTTTTCTAAGGTAAGTAGAACAGCGAGGAGGGGGAACAGCTGTGCCGCGTGATTTAGATTCCCTAGAAAGCACAGCTGATCGTCGGCACAGCTGATCGTCGGAAATACCGGTTCCCCCAAACCGGTAGCATTTCAATCCCTGACTAGAACTCACCCTCTCCTGGTTCCTAAACCAGCATCTTCACTACTAGACCAAATTGGCTCTCAGAGATACTTTAGTTCCATGCCCAAAACTTTTCGGGTTCAAAAAGTGATTCCGTCAAATAAATGGAGCTCATTTCAGTGCCAGTTCAGTTAATAGACATGATTATTTAATGTTCCAAATCTTGTCCTCAAAATTTTGAACCATTTCACGGATCGCTAATGAAGTTTTTTTTTTTATAAATGAACTCTAGGAAGGGATGAATCCCCCCAGAAATTTAGAGCTCAGTATGTTTGAACTGAATATAAAGTGATTTCTTATTAGTAACCCTCGACTTACGACCATAATGGAGCCCAAAATTTCTGTTGCTAAGCCAGTGAGTTTTGCCCCATTTTACGACCAGTCGTTAAGTGAATCACTGAGGTTGTTTAACTAGCAACAGGGCTGCTTCCTCATAGACAGAAGATTGCCAAAGGGGATCACGTGACAAACCCCCCCCCCCCCGTGACCGTCATAAATAGGAACCACTTGACAAGCATCCAAATTCTGATCACGGATGCTGCAACAGTTGTTAAGTGTGAAAAACAGCCAGAAGTCAATTTGTTCTGTGCGCTTGTAACCTGGTCACTAAACAGATGGTGCGAAGTCAAGGGCTACCTGTTATTTTTTTAAGGGGGCCCCTCATCTTGCCTCTGTGGGGCAACTCACCTTGCTGAGATCTTTGCACCTCTTTGAAATTGAAATAAACAGATCCTCCTTGATGGTGATTAGGGTGATAATTACGTCTTCAAAAAGGTGCAAGCAGAATTTGGGGCGGTAATGAGAGAGTGGCAGGAAACAGTGAGGTAAATACAGGCTTGGAAGAAGCTTTAATGCTAGCTTAAAACAGGGTAGTAGTTTAGCATCTGGCTGCGAATCAGTAAGTTTCCACCTCCAGCAATAAGGATGAGCAAATTGGTCAATCTCAGATTTGCTCCAAGCCTTTTTTTAAAATGTTTCTCAGTAAACTTTCAAATACAGCTACAAAGAAAATGAGAGGACTGGAGGCTAAAGCATATGAAAAATGGTTGCAAGAATTGGATATGTCTAGGGCTCTAGTAGGCTAACGAAGAGAAAGATTAGGGGTGACACGATAACAGCCTTCCAGTATTTGAGGGGCTGCCACAAAGAAGAGGGAGTCAAGCTATTCACCAAAGCAGGGGTCTCCAACCTTTCGGATCTAAGGGACCACTAAATTCATAATTTTAAATCCCACGGACCAGAGGTGGGTTTCAGCAGGTTCTGACCAGTCCTGGAGAAATGGTAGCAGAAATTTTGAGTAGTTCAGAGAACCGCTAGTAAAAATTCTGACTGGCCCCCCCACCCCATCTATACTCTGCCTCCCAAGTCTCAACTTGGTAGAGCCTGGATAGCTCAGCAGACTAATGCATTGTAATTTAACTCCAGCTGTCTGCAATTAGTAAGTTCGAATCTCGCCAGGCTCAAGGTTGACTCAGCCTTCCATCCTTTCTAAGGTGGGTAAATTGAGGACCCAGTTTGTGGGGGCAATAAGCTGACTTTGTATAAATATACAAAAGTATGAAGGCTATTGCTTAACGCATTGTAAGACACCCTGAGTCTCCGGAGAAGGGCAGCATATAAATCATATTTTAAAAAAAAAACTGATTGGGAAGAAATGGGGATTTTGCAGTATCCTTCCCTTGCCACGCCCACCAAGCCACACTCACAGAACCGGTAGTAAAAAATTTTGAAAGCCACCACTGCCATGGACCACTAATATGATCTGCCTAATGACTGGCTGGCAAGGTGGGCGTGTGACTGGGTGGGCGTGGCCAACTCGATGTCACTCACGTCGAGGGGCACCTTGCCAGCCTCGACTCGCTACTCCTCGTCTGCCCACCCGGGCTCTTTAGGACCCCAACAGGAAGCAGTTGCTGGAGCTAAGCAGCCACTACGAGAAAGAGTTGGCAAAACAGCTCAGTTCAAATTGGATCTGACCGAGAAGGTGGCTCAGCAGAAGCACCTCACTGAGGACTAGGAGCATAGGCTTTCCATACAGAGGGAAGACCTGCAGGAGTGCAAGGCCAGGTACCGGCGCCTGGAGGCTGAGATGGTCAGCCAGTTCCAGGCCATGATGCAATCCCACTGGAACAAGGGCCTCCGGCTCTTCGCCACCAGCAGCGCTTCCCTCCATCCTTCGCCCAAAGCCCCACACCAGGAAGCTTAAACAGACCCCAAGTCAGAATTTCTGCCCCTTTCCGACCCGCACAAAAAGACCCCGAAGAGAGAGACTCTCTGCAGCAACACAAACGTTCATTGTATGTATCCGGCCCAGGGGCCGTAGTTTGAGGACCCTTGATTTAGATGTTTCATTAGAAGCTGGACCTATGACTTACAACCACAATTGAGCCCAAAATTTATGTTGCTAAATGAGACAGTTGTTAAATGAATTTTGCCCCATTGAACAACTTTTCCTACCGCAGTGGCTAAGTGGATCACTGCTCTTATTAAGATAGTCACACATAGGTTGTTAAGTGAATCTGGCTTCTCCATTGACTTTGTTCGTCAGAAGGTCGCAAAAGGGAATCACGTGACCCACCGTCATAAATAT